CAGCTTTGATATTAATGAGTTTTTTGGGTTCATTGAGAACATGGTTGTTGTTCAATAATAAAATTAATCCTCAAAAATACAACTTGCCTAATAATTCTGCACTCCCTGTAGTAGATCTTTTATTTTAATTGTACCAGATTTGATCCAATTACCTATATTTATATCAGTAAGATTATATTCCATTGTCTTAATTGGACTATACTTAGAGATTTTATTTGTAAAATGATTTTTTTCCCTGTATTTTACCCAATGTTCATAAATGTCTTATATACGAGGTTTCTATATTTGAAAAAAAATTTGCACTAGTTCCAGCATCAGTCCATATCATATTGGAAAGATCTTTTGATCTTACACAGAAAGGACTCCATTTTGTACCAAGGCTCGTCTATTGTCACTGGGCCCTGCCTTCTCCATAGATGGAACAACCTACTGGCTTCATAGTATTTAATGAGATTAGGGACCCCCATGCCATCCTTACTGGACTTTTTTATTTCGTGTAGAATCGAGATCCTAGATCTCTTATAGCCCCAGATATAATTCTAAAATAATTTATGGATTTGTCTAAGCTTTGTTGTTATTTTGCTTAATTTGAAAATTGCCTGTAAATATGTACAAGATGAAAATAAAGATTAAAACTTGTTTATTGTTGTAGATAAGAAAATCTTGAAATATCACACAGTGTCATTAAATGAGCACTATAGGGTCAGGAACACAAACATGTATTCCTGCCCCTGTAGGGTTAAAACCACCATCTAGCCCCCCCTGTCGCCCTCATGCCTCCCTAAATATAGTAAATCTTAATTGTATTCAAGTCTGCAGCTGCATGCTTTGTGCCTGTTTCCTTTAGACCTGCCCACTGCCTTCTGACATCAGCAGAAGTGGTAGCCTGATCCAATCACAATGCTTCCCCACAGTATTGGCTGAGATTGACAAAGAGGTAGATCAGGGGCAGAGCCAGCATGATTCAAACACAGCCCTGGCCAATCAGTATCTCAGAGAGATAAATTGAATCAATGAATCTCTATGAAGAAAGTTCAGTGTCTACTTGCAGAGGGAGGAGATACTGAATGTTTGGATGCGTTTTAGGCAGCCATGACCCAGGAAGGATCTCTAACAGCTATTTGAGGAGTGCCCAGTGAAGTTCTCACTAGGATGTAATGTAAAGACTGCATTTTCTCTGAAAAGACAGTGTTTACAGCAAAAAGCCTGAAGGTAATGATTCTACTCACCAGAACAAATTCAATAAGCTGTAATTGGTCTGGTGACTATAGTGTCCCTTTAACTCAAACGGTTAAGTTTCGACAGAGGGAGTTAACAGTACTCTTTAAATCAATGCCGGCATTGATTTAAAGAGTACTGTTAACTCCCTCTGACGATACTTAACCATTTGAGTTAATGACATACAGAGGATACTTGAATGTAGCCGCCGTCAAACTGAGCCAGTATTATCTGATATTAGTCAGGATAGGAGCTGCCTTGATTCTAGGTATCTTGCTTTATCTAACGATAGGTGCCCCTGAAGGCCCACAGAGACATTAAGTGTACTGAATCTTAGATACTCATTACAAAAAGAACTAGGTGTCCTGCAAGGTACAGCATGGTCATTTACTTTCTACTAGACAGCTAGATATATAGGCTGTATAGTTAGTACTTTCAATATATTAGGTGCCCATAAAGGCTCAGTTTAGAATCTCTGCTACAACAATTAGCTTAATCCTAGACAGCTCCATATCATTCAATACTATATGGACTATTCAATATATGTTTTCCTCTGGATACTCTAGTTTAAACAGCCACTTCTGATACAAATCTGTCTATCTACCTTATAACATTTTGTTACTCTTTCAAAGTAGGAACTACAAAATATATATATTGCCATTCTCTACTAAGAGTCTGGCTGACTGCCAATACAAGGGAAATTAAGCTAAACATATATTTCTTTCTTCTTATAGGGACTATCAAATTTAGATATTTTTTCACTGATAGTACCTTCTTTTCACTGTGTGATATTTCAAGATTTTCTTTTGCATTTTCAATACAACAATAAATGATACGTTTTAATCTTTATTTTCATCTTGTAAATATTTGTAGGCAATTTTCGAATTAAGCAAAATAATCACTACCAAGGGTTACTTACTCCCTTATTAAATAAAACACAAAGATTAGGCGCTCACTATAGTGATAATGTGATAGGAGTGGGCAGCAGTGACCAGCACAAGGATTCCCAACCTTGTAATAGAACAAATGTGAACAAAGAAACAGGAGGAAACCGCGCCCTTAATACAATACAAATGTACATACTCAAGTCCTTATGGTCGTAGTTTTCCAATAAACCTCAAAGAGAAAATATTCAAAATGATAGTGTAATACTGTAAATGCTTCAAATAGTAAAAGGCAAAAAGATAAATGCAAACTCACATTTACCAGAGCTATTACAGAGCTCTACTGTTGTTGCGTCTAGACGGAATAATCCCCGTCTCTGGATTAGTTTGAAGTAGTCGACCTCTTGGCGTCCTCAAACAGATAACACATATAGAAACATAGAAATCCTTATAGTGTAGTATATTATAATACCTTAAGGATAATGAATAAATGCAAGGTAGCGTACTCACATGTACTAGAGCGTTCCTCGCTCAAGATTATAAAGCATAGGTGATATAATCCCCACCATAGGATAAGATGACAACCAGGAAATTAAAAATATAAAATAAAAATGGTATCTAAGAGTGATCAAAGTATAATAGCTATTTATTAAACATAAAAACAATAAAAACAAAATATATAAATATCACTCTGTAGAAAAGTCCATAAAAAGTCCACTTTACGCGTTTCACCTATAAAGGCTTCCTCAGAAGTGTGTGGGTAAAGTCCTGGTAGTGTCCAAATATATAAAATATTATCTTCAAAGTAATTGGCTTCATCTGTAGAATATCAATCACTTACTGTTTCCTGGTTTCAAAATTGGAACGCTCGCGTAATACCGGAAGTGACGCTGCGCCATATTGACCAATATAATAATGAGGGATACTTCCTGTTAAGCCACCGGTGGAGTGCACGCGTCATACCGGAAATGACGCGGCGCGATGGGACCGTGGTATTGTATGTGTTCCATCGGTGGAACGCAAGTTAATGCAAGCACCAGTATTACCTTAGCAACACATCGTAAAGGCAGTATCTGCAGTAGCTGGCAGCTTGTCATAGCCAAATGTAATAAACAAAACAAACATTATTAGAGCAGATTACAATTTTTAACAAAAAGTATGTATACCAAAGTAAAAAGCATCATAAATTAAAACATCCTAAATATAATCTGTATAGATCTATGGGACATATTATTAAAAAAAGAGGATATAATTGCATAACTTGCAATTAATATACTAATATATATGTATATAGGAGGGAAGATAATCTTTAGTATAAAAAGGGGGAATAAAGTAGAGAAGATAATAAATAGTATATATATGTATACCTAAATAGGAATAAGCCTAATGGTATTAACATCATATGTGGCAAAACATATAAGTATACAAGAAATAAATTCATATTTCATACATAAGTAGTGATCATAAATAACAGTGAGAATCCCCTGTTAAATATAAATAACTAAAATGCATATAAGAGTAAACATAAAAATAAATATAAATATAAAAAGGAGGAGAAAGGGGATGATAAAATATGGGTTAAAAAAGTGCCAATGTCTAAAAAATAATAATAATAATAACTTGACTTTATTAAAAAGATAGGACAAAAGGAGATGAAATGGGTCTTCAAAATTGATGCTCTACACCCTAATGGGTTAAATATAGATTTCGACCTTTTTAACTTTTTATAATTATTCCTATTTTTTATATTCTCCTTTTTCATACATTTTTGTAAAGATTCATTTCTCTATCTGATTTATTATTATTATTATTTTTTAGACATTGGCACTTTTTTAACCCATATTTATTATATTGGTCAATATGGTGCTGCGTCACTTCCGGTATGACTTGAGCGCGCCAATTTTGAAACCAGGAAACAGTAAGTGATTGATATTCAGATGAAGCCAATTACTTTGAATATAATATTTTATATATTTGGACACCACCAGGACTTTACCCACACACTTCTGAGGAAGCCTTTATAGGTGAAACGCGTAAAGTGGACTTTTTATGGACTTTTCTACAGAGTGATATTTATATATTTAGTTTTTATTGTTTTTATGTTTAATAAATAGCTATTATACTTCTATCACTCTTAGATACCATTTTTATTTTATATTTTTTATTTCCTGGTTGTCATCTTATCCTATGGTGGGGATTATACCACCTACTTTATAATCTAGAGCGAGAAACGCTCTAGTACATGTGAGTACGCTACCTTGCATTTATTCATTATCCTTAAGGTATTATAATATACTACACTATAAGGATTTCTATGTTTCTATATGTGTTATCTGTTTGAGGACGCCAAGAGGTCGACTACTTCAAACTAATCCAGAGACGGGGATTATTCCATCTAGGCGCAACAACAGTAGAGCTCTGTAATAGCTCTGGTAAATGTGAGTTTGCATTTATCTTTTTGCCTTTTACTATTTGAAGCATTTACAGTATTACACTATCTTTTTGAATATTTTCTCTTTGAGGTTTATTGGAAAACTACGACCATAAGGACTTGAGTACGTACATTTGTATTGTATTAAGGGCGCGGTTTGCTCCTGTTTCTTTGTTCACATTTACTCCCTTATTAAGCCTGCATAGAGCTCACCGTTTTTTCTAATATGTTTTGTTGTTGTTACAGATAAAGGGATCATTCTGAAAAGGCATGACCAATGAGGTAAGATATATGATTTGGTGATATTTATTCTTCCTAACCAGGAAATTCCTATATTTCTCCACTCTTTCAGTAATTTATCACTAGCTTCTTTTTTTAGAAGGTTATCCACGTTTTTAATCTATCGTTTCTTTTAGGTTGGAAGAAAAATAAATCCCAAGATATTTAAAACCTTGTGGTGACCAAGTAAAAGGATATTTAGTTGATAGTCTATTAATTGTTATAGAGTCTAAGTTAATGGGCATAACTTGGGATTTACCAACATTTAATTTGTAATTTGAGACTCTACTATAATTTTCTAACTCTACGTTCCAGGCCCCTAGCGATGTGACCAGATCTGTCAATGTTAATATTATATGATCAGCATAGAGGCTGATCTTAAAATCAGAATGATCCATGATGACTCCTTTAATTTGTTAGTTGTTTCTTATGCTCACTGCGAGTGGTTCAAGTGTCAAAATATATAAAAGCGGAGCAAGGGGGCATCCAGCACGTGGCATTCTGTTATACGAACGATGGCCACTCAGAGAGAACACTTAATCCTGTGGTTTCTTTGTAGTTAGTGAGCCAGGGGGGTGGTCGGTGTTTGGCAGATTTATATACTGAATGCAGAGAAAATATGAATGAAGTTCAGGAACCTGTTAGTGAACTTAGGAAGAGGACATCTCCTATGCAGGCAAAAATAGTGGGTTTTGTCACAATACAAATAAGCCACAATGTTTGTCATTATAAAGTGTAGTAAAGTGATAACGGATCCTGAAGAACAGTATGATGGGGCAAATAAAACCTAGCCTGAACATGTTAAATGAAGGGGGGCAAAAGAAAGTCCTTAATTTAAATCCCTAGGGTACCGTATCTTGATCTTAAAATTTAAAAACATTCACATTGTCTTAGAAATTTGTTGTAACTGCCTTTAGTTTTGTCTCTCTTAAGCAGTTCCAACCCACATACTCTTAAGCCCTTAGAAGATCCTCCATGATTATTCTTGAGATGTCTGGAGATAGGTGTATCTCTCAGACATTTTACTGATCTCAGATTCTCCTTAATCCCTTCCTTAGAGGGAGAGAAAGTCACATATTTAAATCACATTCACAAGTAAGCAGGTACATAAAATCTCTGTAGGGTTTGTCTCATAAAATGCAACCAGCATCATCAGACAGTGCCAATACATCTAATCTGATGGGTCTGCTGTTTTCTCAAAGAAGATATATTTGTCTCCATAGCATTCTTAAAGGCTCACCCTTACCCCCTCCCCCCCAACATTTGTTAGGATACCCTTTGTCCCTTTGTACACTGTAAGTGTGAAGGCAGACCGGGTGGAGTACGTCCACAGGGCGCTGCGTTGCACGGCTGTCCCTGAATTATTTTAAATTCCTCAACAAATCTTCAAATTCTACGTAAACGAAAATATTGTCTTGTAGGTGTTGCCATGTTTAAGTGGCTCATGATGGTTGTTGTCCCATCTCAAAAGACTGTTGGAGGCTGTTGGCAGGGGCGTACCTAGAGTATTTGGCACCTGGGGCCGATCCTGTGTAAAAAAACACCTGCAAGTTTTCAAGAATTTACATAACATTTTAACCTAAGTGTATTTTGATTATATACATATCAAATTACATTAAGAATGAAAATATATAAAAGCATATTTATATTCAGTTCTAACTGATACCTCCCTAGGCACATTCACAAACTGCTGCCCCCCTTCCTTCTATAAAACCCCTGCCCCTCTCTCTAACAAACACCACTGCCCCCTCTCTCTACAAACCCCTGCCCCCTCTCTCTACAATCCCCTGCCCCCTCTACAAACCCCTGCTCCCCGTCTCTACAAGCCCTGCCACCTCTCTACAAACTCCTGCTCCCTCTCTCTACAAATCCCTGCTCCCTCTCTACAAACTCCTGCCCCCCCCCCCACAAAATCCCTGTCACCCCCTCAAACCCTTGCCACCATCTACAAATCCCCTACCCCCCTCTACAAACCCCTGCCAACCTTCCTCAAAACCCCTGCCACCCCCCATAAATCCATGCTACCCCCACACACCCCTTTGTCCAGCCCCTACAAACCCGCTGTACAGCCCCTACAAATCCCTGCTACCCTCACAAAGCCCCTGTACAGTTCATGTCCATTTAAAAAAAAAAAAAAAAACATTAGCAGGCTCACAGTTGATGACAGGCATGATGTATTGCCTGCTTTCTGTTTCCTGCTATTGAGGCACTGCCTCTGCGGTGTCATCCGCATCCAGTGTCTGAAGCTCAGAGCGAAGCATTGTAAGTGTGAAGGCAGACCGGGCGGAGTACCTCCGCATGGCACAGCGTTGCGCTGCTCTGCCCTTCTCCTCCTTCACATGATTATGTTGTGCTGCTTGGCCATGACTGAATGACATAGCCCAAGCAAGTGGAACCCGGGGCGGACCACCCCATCTCCTCCCCCCCCGTTAGTAGCCACTGACTGTTGGTTTCCTAAAAAGGGTAGTTGTCAAACACCCTTCATCATCAATGGAAATAGATCTAGAAAGTTAATGGAGGACCTACCAAATTCTGGGCTTGGCAGATTAGTCAGAATATGGAATGGAATTTGCAGGTATATCTTTCTAGCATAATAATCAGTAAAGTAAGTTGTGTAGTGGTTATGGTGCTTGCAGTGTTCCTTTAAATAAATCAAGCTACTAATTTTTCTAGTCCTCACTTTCATACATATGCACTAAATTGTTTTTTTTCCCGTTTTTATGTCCTAATCTCCCAGCAATTAACTCTTCTCCCCCATTGCATATTAGCTATACGTTTTAAATAAGAGCCAACTATTAGATCAACACAACTCTTACATTTGATTGCAATCTCACGCTCATTAAGCATTATGACTTTATCTATAAACTTTCCACCTCTTTAAATAACTACAGACCAAACTGTAAGTTTGTAGACCAGTGATGTAAGTGTCCTAATACCAAAGATATATTGCTCAATAGCCTTGGAATTCCCAAAGTTAGAAATACTCCTACAGAAGGCCCGGTTGATCTACATATGGTTTAAGTGAGTGCTGGTCCTTACTCTCTGACTCAGCCACACAGTCTGTGAAAGTAGGCTGTTGCCTCATTTTGCATTGTTGACTCAATTTCACAACCCAGGATGTGAGTTTACTAATTTGCACCTTCCAGGCTTATCCACTCCCTGTCATTACTCTGCACTTTGTTCAAAGGTCACAAGAGTGTACTAATGAAGAGTTCTAGGAAACTCCGAGTTTGATGCCTTTCTTTGTTGCTGACTTTTTGTTTATCCTTTTTTTTTCTAAAATAAAGAAAAATAAATTACCCCCACCCACAAACATTAAAATCCAGTGATAGAATTTCCCTACTGTGTCCTCATCAAATCCAGCAATTATCTCCTGGGACTTTTGACAAAAAGTCAACAGGTCAGGTTTGTTAGTGTACATGGAGAGAAGGCATTTATTCACAGACAGGGATGGACTGATAGCAATCTGAGCCCCCAGGCAAACGTAGGCCCTGTGCCCCCTCATAGTCTAATACATACACAAATACACATGGTTTAGTCACTTAAGAGTGCATTACAGTAAATTACTCATTTTGAAAAATTCACCAATATTGTCACAATTTGACTATTTTAGCCTGAATTTTGATATTCTGTCTTCAGTTTACTCTTTATTGAAGAAACACTACAGCTGGTTAGCAATAAATATTGAAGGATTGACAAGGTACTGAAACTTTTAGGCCAAAATAGCCTAGCTGGGAAAATACTCAAGTTGCACATTTTTCCAATTTGGTTAATTTAGTCTATAATGTGTGATCACATCACAATAACGTTCAATAAATAAACTTATATGTGTATATGTATGTGTGCCTATTTAGAGTGTTTGCGTTTGAATGCAGTGTTGGCTTTTAAGTGCAGCTGTGTCTAGGGTGTAGTAGGGTTGGTGTATGAATGAAGAGATGTTTGTATTTATTTTTAGCTTTTTAATACAGCAGTGTGTTTGTATGTAATTTTGGAGTTTGAAAGCAGGGGTGTGTTCGCCTGTTGTATAGGTGTTTGTTTGCTTGGATGTATGCACATGCACACATACACTGCCCCATACATACATACTTACACACATAAAGATATATACACATTGACTCAGATACACACACACTCGGACACATATGCACACACCCTGACACAAAGATACACACACTGGCATATATCTATATGTACACACACAGATGCACAAACATAAACACTGACGCATGCACACACCCTGACACACAGATACACACTGACATATACATAGATGCACTCCCTGATACAAAGATGCACATACACACTGACACATGCACCCTCTGACACACAGATGCACACATTGACATGCACACACATATATACACTGAGACATGCACCCGCTGACACACAGATACACATACTGACATACACACACATATATACACACAGATGCACACCCTGACACAATGATGCACATACACACTAACTGATTATTATAGTATTTTAAAAGAAGCTGTGGTATGCTGTACAATGTTATCTCAATATAATATTTTTTTTTCTCCTAACATTCCTATTATTATTCAGTAAATCTTTTTCCAATAATCTAGCTGAAGGAAACTGTATTCAGAACTGTCGCAATATAACCTTTTTTTTTTTCCTTTAGTTTTTTTCTGTCTTTCAATTATGGCTATTATTAGTATCTGTTTACTAAAATTTTATGATTAGAGGTTAAGAAGAAATTAGTTTATAATTCTTGATGGAATATTCAACCTCAGATGTATTAGCTGTAATCTGCTTTATAAAAACTAAAATAAAAAATATATACACTGACACATGCACACACCCTGACACACAGATACATACATAGACATATACACACACAGATGCACATACACACAGACACACCTTGTCACAGATACACACACTGACATATACACACCTTGACACTCACACATACACACAATCTGGCATTCATACACACGTTATCATTTTTACATTTGCAACCACCTTCTTGGCTTACCTTTTGTGTCCAGGGCAGTGGCTTGCTTAGGGTCTTGGTGATGCTGGCTGAGGCTGATATGAGTGAGTGTATGCAACAGCTCACTCCAGCCTCTCTTCTCCATGCTCCCTGTCTGTGTTGCTGCCTCATTCCTCCAGTGCAACGGTCTCTTATGAAGCTGGGAGGAAGTGATCAGCTGGCATTTCCTCCAAGCCATCCTATACTACAGTATGGTCGCGCTCTTACCGGGCCCCTGTTCAGCAATACCCTTTAAGTGGCCCTAAGTGCAGGGGCCACCCTGTAGACCTCCAAAGCATGCAGGCCCCGCACCACCAGCATTGGCGGTTATTTTGCATTGCAGGGCCAGTTTCATAGGTCTAAGGATCTCCCCAACTGGCCCATAACTTCCCCTGCAACTGGACCACGGACTGCTGCGGG